ATACTTGTTCCGCAAAAAGATCCAAAAAGCCTCTAATGTCTATCATTTACGTTTAGAAAGTATAAGGCTTCTTGCGACTCAAATTTTTCTTTTGGTAATGTCTCAGAAACACGTCATAGTGTTGGTATGTTTACCCTGGTTTTACGAAGGGAAAACAGTTTGTTAAAAATTGGTTATGGATTTCRTATAAAGAAATACTTTTTCTTCAACTGGATTTAAACATATCACAGAGCAGACTCTCAATGGCCACTTGGCCGATGGTCTGCCGAAAGAAAAGGTCCTCAATTGTTTTGTTGCTAACTGCGCGAAGAGAYGGAAGCATCAAGAGTAGTTTTCCAAACCGTACTTGTTGTGCRGGATAATGTCGTCTAATGTAATCACCGAGCATGATCTGTGCCTGGTCTTGATAGCACTCAACTTGCTGTGGGTCGCGTAGGCCACGCAGATCTAAGATAAAATAAAAAAGTTCTTGTAATTTTTTTGGAATTCATGTTTTTAAAACATTTTGATGGAACGCGCACTCTGATTAGTTGAAAAATGTTGACATAGCACATAATGATTTTTCAGATATATAATGCACGCCTTTATTGGTTCATGAAAACAYCATTTACAGTTAAAATAAAAAAGTTGAGGCCCGTATACTACTGTCGAAAGGCAATTGCCGGACGCCGGCATCATTAGGTCACGCATATCAAAGAATTGTATGTCATTCGTGCGGGTTCCCTGTGCTCTTTAGTTTTGGGCTTCCTTTAGCGAATCCATGCCATATATGAAAACAAACAAAATGGTCGATTGTTGAGAAGTGTTTTCGCTATAATATCTGCAAGTTTCAGACGATTTCAAGCTTTAAAAGACGAGAAAATTGGCAAAACCATATATGGCTGCTAAACGAAGGACTACTTTTGTGGGGCAATTCTTTGATATGAAATATAATGTCACTTATAAAATGTAAATGATGTATCTTGTAAATGTAAATTTATATTTTCGAGACCTGATGRTGCCGGCGTCCGGCGAAAGCTTTTCAAAACTTATTTGACTTTCGACAGTAATGTATGGCCATCAACTATCATTTTAACTCATAATGCTACCGAAGAACAACTTCCTAACCATTTGCAGTTATTTCAGGAACTTGAAGATACTGTATTTAAAGACCGCAATGCATTGTTGTTGTTTTTATTGGTGGCAATAACAGCTCGTGTATAGTCAAGAACAAAGAAACAAAGAACAAATGAAAAGTAATTAAGTTTAGAATTGTCATTTTGTAAGGCAGTTAAAGCGGAATTTAAAAGAAGCAATGCATTGCATTTGCAGTTTTGGAATGTACTATGCAGTATTCAGTATTTTCTGAAATTGCTGTATATAAGGGCTCTGAAACGCCTTGCCCGTCGTATCCTAGCTATAAATGYCTATTTAAACTATTTTTAAACTATTTAAGTATTAAAATGCTTTGATAGTTATCATTAATTTAAATCTTATATATAATTTTATAAAATTATAAACCGGTTGCATGTACTTCTGTTTTTTTTATAAATTCCAAATTTACTGGCTTACAACGTGACTATAATACAAGTATTTCAAAAATAAGGAAAAGCTAGCTTAGGCATGACTGATTAAATGGTTTCATTTTATCGTTCAAATCTTAGCTCGACAATTGTCGATCGCCAGTCACTCTGACATCCCTTTTTAATATGGTCAATATCACATTGGTCTAAGGTGGCAACTATTAGTTCATTGTCCGGATTATTGTAAAAAAATAGCGTGTCAGGAAAAATCCTTAAAAACTAAGCAATAATTAAGTGATTACAGCAATTTTTTGAATCATTTTCTGAGTTTCAATGAGCAGTAAAGCCAATTCAATCCAAATTTGCAAATTGCATCAAGCGCGYGAAAAATTGGCGCCAAAACTGAAAGCGTCATTTTTTCTGTCTGCGTAGATCGTCCGCGTAAACAAAGATGTATTCTAGATTCATGACTGTTCGATGGTTTTCGATAGAAATCATTTACCAAGTTAAGTACCACTCGTTCTTCACGATATTTGATGGTCATTATGAAGCGTTTGGTGGTAAAGAAGAAAGGTTGGTTGGACAAGGAAAACAAAGAAAGGTTTTTGCAGATTTTCGCAATCAAAAATAAAAAATTACAAACGAATTTGGAGCTAATTTGTTAGTAATTAGAAAGCCGTATCACTTTAGTGACGCAATGAWTCACAGTTTAACTAATAAAACTCGATTAGAGAACCGCGCCAGTCCAGCAGTTTTCACAGCAAGGGGTCATACTTCATGTAAGTTATTCATTAAGCTTTAAGTATGGTATTTATTAAAGAGGATTAGTAGTGGTTACCCACATGAAATATATCCCTGACATGGTCAGAAAATTTGAAATTTTCTTAATAAATCAAAGTCAATTAAATTTTCTTTAAAAACAAAATTGAAATTTGGTCATGATGCGTCAATGAGTTCATCATTCACAGGAAAAACTGTCAGCTTTTATATAGAATCAGCGAGTACAAAAACACCTTTTTCACATGCCAGCATTCATTTAAAATTGTCACTATGGAGTTGGTTACCACAATGACAATTAAGGCATGTCGTGACTGGCTCCCAGTCCCTGAAATCCACAGCCCGCAAAAAATAATTGTTCTAAGAATGTTTTATTATTTTGTCATGTAATCGGTGAAATGAATAAAAACACTAGTTCATACTTTAAGAGCTGAGTTTAAGATTGATTTCATAAAGTGGGATTCAAAAAGGCGATCAAGGAAATACAGACTGAACCTCACCCTTGAATTTAGTGTTGTTAAGCATTGCTACTGTTCAAGTTTAGAGTCAGTGTTTCCCGTTTTTCGAGACAAATTGCCAGTGCTTAGGGAAGGTGTCAAACGAGAAGCATTAACCCCAAGCTTCTACGTAATGATTTTCCGAGAAAAGGCTTTCGTATCTATAGTAATTCTCGGCCTTTGAGACCTTCGTGATCTAGATTCTATGTCGTTTCTACCAGGCGAGGTTTCCTACCGTGGCCATGGACTGAAATCTACCCTATGGATCAAAGTTATATCAAACAATATAAGACTTTTGAATACTGTAAAACGAGAAAAAATATGTCTTAATAATACTGACCTGTAACATTAACGCATAATATAGTAATCAAATAGATGGTAATGTTTATTAGTAATAAGTTATTAATAATAATCTACTCAGGAACGTGCTACTAGTCGGCATGTTGTAAACTTCACATACTTTACTCTCTTAGTATTTGCAGACAAAAGAATTCTCGGAGTTCTCAAAAAATCACGATAAAAACGTCCAATTAAAATAGGTCATGCGATGAAAGAAACTGTCAAAGACTTATTTAAAGTSAAGGAATATCACTCCAWGTACAGTAAAATCGTTTTCYTATTGCATGCAGRACATYKAGGWAGAWTTTTTAATTCTTTTCAGTGTGACTAGAAGCACTAAAAACATCTAAAAGATAGGCTCCAAAGCCATCTGTTWRAAATWCCAGTCCCACGCATGCGTGTGTTGTCTTCCCTTATTAAGATCGTTAACATTAGCCTTTAACTAAAACGCCGAAACAGTGAAGTCAAATCACTGACGAATCAATTGATATCTTTTACAAGTATCTAAAGCACTTTATCAGAGTGGAGCTGTTCCACAGATAACGAGCCGGAGTGCGCTCAGCAAATTAACTCAAAAACAGCTGTCACGAGTTAAGATTGTAGCGAGAGAAGCCGACTTTATATTTCGACAAAACTTTCTTTGATAAAATTACTCTCAAGTACAGACAGCATTTGTAGTCTTCTATTGAATGGCTTGATCCGCATTGAGGCATTTGTCAGCGATAAACAGCTTTCTCGATTTCCCGCCTTTACATTGACGCGTTCGCGCGCGTTGGTATGATTAAAAAGAAAGATTTCAAAACAATTTAGGTGTTCTGGCATTGTTGCAAATCGACGAATAGGCAATAAATCAATGGGTATTTCATTCATTAGCTAGTGGAAATATCTCTGTACTTTGGCCTATAAGCTTATTTAGTTTTGGTATAAGTCGTTCTAGGGCACGTGGGGGGCGAAAGACTCGTGTACCTTTAAATCCTCAAAGAGCTTACTTGATTAACTCATTTTTCTTTCAGAACCTTTTAAAGTATCTTTAAACTCTTATCGGGCATTTCAAGTGCATATGTATATAGATTCGACAACATGGCTAATTATAGTAAACAGGTCTTGAAACCACAGCAGAGAGTTTGCGATGGGACTTATCTAGTTGTGGAATCATGCATTAGATTTCTAAAGTAGACGTTGATTACTTAAAACCTCCAATGTTCAACTATTAGCCGACAAGGACTTAAAGCAAAACGCAAAACTTTAAAGTCTTTTGCAAATATTAGAAGAGACACGAATTGCTGTTGCTTTTGTTTCTGTAAAGACAAAAGATGTTGCTTTTTGATAACAACATTGAACAGGTAGATTTGTACTCGCACGCTCCAAGCTGTTGGACACCAAGACCCTAGAGATTCTATTGAAAAAATCAGATGTTTTCYCMTACATATGTTTGGATACGACCTATTTTGTTTGCGACGAGATTAAGAGTATATGTTTCAGAAATAATTGCCTTAATCGAATAGGCAGTGTATCTGTTTTATAATTGGACACTACTTGGTCGATAACTACTGAATAATGACTCGCTCGCGTGGTGGAATAATAGAATGAAAATATGTGATAGAGCTCTGCCTATTAAAGAAATTAAAAATCTCTAACCAGAGAACATGATATGACAAGAACACAGTAGGAATGATAATAACAGAATAACACTTTGAGTGCCTAATACACCACTCAAGGAAAATACGTTTCGAACACATGTTAGGATCATGTCAGAGTGATCTGCTTCTTCACCGTTCTCCCTTTATTATATCTTAATTAGTATATATTTTTCAAACCAAAATTCTATTGATTAAAAACACACATTTTTTAGTTGGAATGTCTTGAACATCAAACATCAATGCTGTACAATTCCTATTCAGATAGATATCTCAACTTCAAAAGCTCAATTTTGGTATGTACCCGTTCATTGAGACCTGCTTCCAATGATTCTGCCAAAGTTAATGTATTCAAGTGATTTTTTTTCATTCTTTTGACTGCTTTCACCAGCTTGTTCTCCGTCTACATATGAACTTAGTGCTCGACCGACTATAACAATTCCTTCACTTAATAACAATGAAAACTTTGGTTACAGTTTTTGGCGGTCTTAAGCAAGAAAAAAGTTAAACCGCTTGTCCAAAMGTTTTATTGACGGAATCCCAGGATATTTCTCCTCTTAAAATTTCATAAACGCTAATAGAATTTAGTAAAAAACGTAAATAAGTTTAAGGTAATTTAATCCCTGCTCAACAACTTTCCAAACACTAAATTAATATTTATAAAAGGTSTCTTTGAGCCATTCCAAAGTCTATTTTACTACACATTTGAAAAGTTGTACTATGTTTACGATAACACATTCCCAGCCCGAAATAGTCCGACAGATTTCTCCAAGATCAAATTACCTTCATTTTGTGTGAAAAATAACATCTAACAAAAGGTTATTATAATGCATTTTTGTACATCAAAAATGTACAAAACTTCATGAGATTTCCCGGGCTAACTATACTGCTTWCAGATTCTAATTTGGCTAGATATAAACTACATATAATTCGTGTAAAGCAAAACCTTTTGGATTCAAAGTTTATTCCATAGCTTTCTGTTGTTTAACAAAACGCAACAGCTGTGATGAAGGTTTAGGTTTTGTGACAATAATGGGGAGCAAGTTGCTGCCAAATCTTTAGAAATAGCTAAAGTGTTTGAAAAGCTCCTAGCACTTTTGCTAATAACTCATTGAGCCAGTGTATTCAATGAAAAACAATGGAAATTGTATATAAATTGTTCATTAACTAATCGTTATAGACTTTTTAGGCGTTCAAAGCATAGAATTGATGGTGGTCCAAAACTCACTAAATGTGATTGAACTTTTCTTATTTGCCATAAATCATCTCTAATGAAATAGTTTGCTTAATAATAAATTTGTAAAAATAAAGTTCAAATGTTTTAAAGATAAAATTGATGATTTTTAAAGCAATCAGTTGTCAAATTGATCGAAAATTGATGATTTTGTAAAACTTGATACAATTTATTTAGCGTGAATGAAAATCAGTAGTCATCTAAGGCAACTTAGGATTCTCTCAACTAATTCATTCAGCTAGAGCGGGAATCGCTGATTATCAGGAAAAAAATCTTATAWACTGAAGTCTATTGTACTCATTTAAACTCAAAAATTTGGATTTGTACTTTAGCTGTTTAATATTAATGAGCCCAGAGCGTTTGCTTCGCTAGCTGGCTTTAGGCTAATGGCTTGTGAAGTTGTATTTGAAAGGAAAATAAACTTTAAACTCGAGTCCAAAACTCTAGAAAATCACAAATCGACATCTTACCTGACTTGAATAAAACAATAGCCTTCAAACATGCGAATTCCGCCTCTGAAACTTGCAGCGCTCGGAACCTTGAKCCAATTTCTTGCAATTGYCTAATATTCGCCATTGTAGAGACGATCTTTTCCGCTTGTGTGTTRTCGACGTGCATGCCTGCTGCAGCCAGTAATGGGGCTACTTCTAAGGGAAGACTCCACTGCACCGCTCCCATGATGAAAAGCTCTCGCCAGCCTTCTTCTAAGAGAATAACTTGGTCTCGAAAGGGAAGGTTCACGAATGAAGGAATGTTTCGCGCCCACTTTACAGACATGAAGAGGAGGCGTGCAGCAGATTCGAAGATAGCTTCGGGTGAAGAACAATAAACTGACGAYGAGATATCTTGTTGGGGGAATGGAACATTGAAGCCTTGGGTAGTTCTAAGCATAGCATCTCTGCAAGGCTCTGCTACGATCAAACTAGCCAGAAAGTCGTTGTTCATGGCTTTCATGCTGTAATCGTCCATCTGTGGCTTCATCAGTCGTGCCGAGTTGGGTTGTCTYTCTTGTTGAACGGCTGTAGAGTTTAGAGAAACAAATTTACTGAMAATTCATTGATTYAACCATTCACGACTATTTTTATTTCCTTTTTCTACGTCTATTCACAAAGTCCGAGCAATATGTACCCATGTAGCCAATATATTGGGAGTATTATGGGGTCAGCCAAAAGCAAGAGCACTCGAATTCACAACGAAATAGTTTAACATGATGTTAAAAAACTACAAAATAATTTCCCGAAGGAATGAGGACAAAGTAATAGTAATAATTAGAATAATTTCTATTGTGTAAAATAGGAAAAATCTTGCTTCTTTCCCTGGAAAAAGACGAGTACTGAACCGTCGCCATTATACCAAAACGATTTGCCTACAAATAGTACAACTTTACKKCTTCAAAACAGYGTTAAGAATTCTACGAATCAATCTCAAAAGCGAGCATTTCAATGAAGTCTTTTCCATAAACATGTGTAGTTTATAATACTCGAAGAATATGAGGTCTTTAGAAATCGAAACAACAACCAACTTTTATCTCAGGGTAAATATAGGGCGACGATATATGTACCTTGTAAAAATCGAGGACATCTTTTTAAAATCAGAAAAAATATGCTTAAAGTATTTTGGTTCTTATACTTTATTGTGATTTATTCCTTGAAGTTTTGTCTCAAAATCCAAATGCCAAGAATCAATCTAARTTCTTGTGTAATAAATATTTAATAGCCATAGAGGTTGAGAACGCATAATTGGRTGCAAGCAGACAGCGAGAACTAAGAGCGATAGATAAGATACATATCTGCACCAGAAAGCGATCTTATTTACTTTAACATTTAAACCGAAACTGAGAAAAAAAACCTCTAAATAATACAAAACTGTGAATTGAGCTCCAAAGATAAGCTTTGAGCACGAATTGTCTTGAAAATTCACAGCTTCAAACGTGCTGAATTTAGGGTTGTGAAAACCAAAGGYAGAGACGAGTGGAGGCATTTGTCATTATTTCAAGACGTCGAGATAAAGATAAATTAATTTATTTTTTCTTTCAAACCAGACTTCAAACTCGGAATTACTGCCGACTCAAAGTTTAAATCAAATGAGCTCATGATGCTCCCWTGGGAGATTTGAATAATAGAAATTACGTAGCTTTCGTGGTCTTGTGTAGAATTCATGAAAAAATGTGCCTCGTCTTCTCTTTATTAACCAATTCTTTTTAACTTTCATTTGAAACTGTCTCAGAAAATATCGCAATAAAAACTGAATTATTTTTAATAAGTTACCGGTAATAAAATTTGTGTTGTATGTAATCAAAGCTAAGTTAGACTATCAATGACAAGATACTCTCTTGTAAGAAACTAGCCGTATGTATCGAACTGTCTAATTAGAGACATCCTTTCATATTGAAAACAGCGGATACACCACATACAATAGATCTAGAGTTTACAATGATTTCTCCTAATTGCTCGTATGTTCTTGTCGTCCTACATCCTGAAAGCGTGCAAGTTTAAAGTTTTGAATGAAAACTCCCAGCGCATTATAAAAATCACACAAAAAAAATTGTCTACACTTTTTCATATCTGTTACCCTGGATACTTTAGCAAGGAGTTGAAATCTAAAACGAGTTTATTATGAAAGTGGATTTTTCCTGCTTAGTAGTTCAAAGTTGAATTGATCGACTAGTTTGGTTTTAAATTGCATTTTCTACACCGAACTGAATCGACTCAAGAAAATGAGCGTTTTTTAATGGAGCTTTGTTCCCTAAAAACACCGCGCACAAGACCCTAATCAAAGTCTTTTGTAGTCAAACCGGAATAGCATATTTTAAGCACTATTTTATTACGACTAACACCAAAATAAAAGCTATTTGAACGCTTTTAGTTTAAATATCACACTTCAAAATACAGAACAGGGTAATTTTAAAGGATAGTGTGGCGGTCCTCGTGTTTTCACGGTAATTACTTTCCGTTTAACCCTAATGAAACTTAGCTCTAAACACACTTCAGAAAAAAAGCAAGTTCGCCGTTTTAAAGCCCCAAACAAAAGATACATAACACTCTTTTTGGTAATTAGGGGTTGTTTTGCTTTAAATAGGAAAACYTTTCTTTTTCATTATAACAAGGTGGAAAATCTTTTCTTAGAAGTCGAGATATTTCAGAGCCGAAAGGTCAACCAAACGCAATGCATTTGTGGTGAACGCCTTGCTTCTTGCTCTCCATAAATCAACACAGACAAGCAAAATTTACTCCGAATTGGAGCAAAAAAAGTCTATTCAAAGATTTTGATGGATAGAGTTTTTTTAGAAATCTTTACAACAGCATCTAGTTTTCTATACTATTGTCTTAAGAAGAGACATTTGGGCCTACGAAGACTATGCCACGCGCTCATGTTTACTCATGAAGTTTTCATTTGAAATTTAGACTAATAGTTACAAAGGCAAGACGTTTTGCTTTGTTTAATCAATCCAAGAGATATAGCCAGCACCACACTTGAGCTAGGTATTCCATAATCTAGTTAACACTGCCCGACAAGAGTACCTTATCGCTCTTAGATATCTTTTTGTGAAATTCACGGTAAGGGGGTTTTAAACTTTCACGGAATGACCCGAGAAATTAGATTTAACATACACAAAAAAATGCACGGAAAAAACTAAATTGACTGATTCCCTATAAAAACATTTGTCTTTTTGAGATGGTATTGCTTTTCTTTGTCTAGTGTCTAATTAAAAGGAGGTGAAACATCGTGAAATATCGTTCTATCGAGCTCCTAATAAACCGAGAATGCGTTGATATTSACCCCGTACGAAATCACCTGCGCGCGTGACCACATAAATAGTGGTACCTAAAAACATCCCTAATATATCTTAAGAACATCTTAAATGGGTATAAATTCAAAGATGGGCAAGCTAGGGGACTTAGCAAGCAAAGTATCGGATGTGTGTAGAACCCGCGCCGCGGCGAGCTCGTCCGCCCAAATTCACCTGTCGCCGAGAACAGTCGACATATGGCTAGGAACGATTTTTGTGATTATCGCCAATGTTGTCTTGTACCTATGTGCGTATCGTGCTTGGATTTCATTAAGGCATCTTTATTTACATATTCTCTTTGGTTTGTATCAATCTCTATTTGAAATCCACACAGTTTTTTTGGGGGGGTATATGATTTGGAATGAAAATCTAATTGTTCAAGTTTGTGAAACCACAACTTTTCGATGCAGTGGTTTGCTACAGGGAGAACAAAATAGAGAGATATTTTGACATTTTCGTTTATTGTAAAAATTAATTAGGCTTAATTGCTATGCCCTGGATTCAATGCGACTAGTGTACAATACACCCGGGTATACTATACGTAGAGTATCATTTTATCCTCATCTGCTTTCACGCGGCGATTTTGAAAGACTCGTTTGATGGGATTAGTGAAGCAGAATCTAAAACAGTTACAATGTAGACTAACCAGAGCCGTTGGCCCCATCAGACTTTGTCATGATACACTGGTGTCCTCCAGTCGACTTTAGTGAACTTTTAAGGCGAATTTTGGAGAGTTTGACTAGACAAAAACATGCGTGATTAAAAATTCATTTTTTGCTTACAGACCCGGGATTTTTGCATTTTTGCGCAAAGTTCAATTTCGTGAAATCAGAGTAATTCACTATAAAAAACAAACAGTCGAGACTAAATACAATGAAGTTTACGATATCACAGAGGACGCTAATTGAATACGTTGATATACCTAAATTTCGGCAAAATTCTTTCAATTACTACCTTCTGGTACAGATTTTAAATCTTAGCTTCACGACAACAATGCTCAAGTGACGGGAAATTCCGCATGGGAGCAATTTCTGAATTTTTATATCCCTCCTCTGCCTTTGATATAGAATTCACTTACCAAACCGGTTCATTTTAACGTCAAGACACTTCTTAAATCGACAAGCTTGGCATTGGTTTCTTCTCTTTTTGTCAACTGTGCAGTTACCATTGCCTTTGCATGTGTAGACCATGTCTCGACGTACGCTTCTCATGAAGAACCCGCTACATCCATCGCACGTATAGACCCCATAGTGTCTCCCAGAGGAGATGTCCCCGCAAACTTTGCACAATACGTCTTGCTTCTTGTCCAGATCTGTCTGCCTCTTTGGAGAGCAGTTTTCTAAGTCTCTTGGATCGTGTTCCTTAACTGTAGATAACACTGGATTAGAATTAAGAGTCTCACTGACATAATTCGCACCTTGAACACTGATACCATGTATAAACCACAGTATGCTGSCTTTGCACAACAAACCATTAAAATTTCACATAACACTATAAAAATTCTTCAGTAAAACGTTGAAAATTTAAGTATTATTTGGAGCATATTATTTCATTAAAGCGAATAGTCATGAGGAAGACAAAGTTACGCCACTTTAAACGTCATCTTTGAAAACAGTCAACACGATGAAATACTTGTACATTTTACCTTTTTATTAAAATRTATACATCWKAAGAAAAAACTTGATTGAAACGTTCAAGGGATCAAAATTGCTGACTAAACTATGCATATTTCTTTATAGCACTTGGTTAACATGATCTTAATTATCTCGAAGAAATATCGAATATTGAGAAAAATATCTAGCACGTAAGGTATCTTAAAGCACGTAAAGTACGTTTACCAGGCTGCGATAATGTACAATAAGAGAATACTAGATGCTTTTCAAATATTGCACTCACCAATACTCGCTTCAACCTCCATCTTGTCAATTCCGTAGACTTCAAGTTYTAATAACAAGACAGTGCTGTCTTCAGTAACTCCGTGCCGTTTTATAATATAGTTCACTGGAAAGAGACCCCTTTAAGAGTCACTCTATGGCGCGCAATGCACTTTCCATTGCAGCTGTCAGGCTYGTCACGTGATTTTCTTTCAATTTGATTGGCTGAATAAGCTAATTAAAAGAAGGCTTACAAATGAAACGGCTTGCAGGCTCTGTCGTATAGTAATCTTATCTTGTTGTATATCTTTGACTTTTGTTTTCATTTCAAAAGTGTTGTCTCAGCTTCTTGGGACTTTTATTTACGCAGAAGACAATAAAATGGGTACTTCTTTTTTTGTATTGTGAGCTAATGCGCACTAAATTCCAAACAAACCACATAAACTTAACCTTGCAAAAACAGTTTCAAATGTTTTTAGGATCTTTGAACTCCCCTGGGAAGCATTGACGTATGAAAGATAGTTGTACCCTTTTTGAAACAATTTGCTGCCGTTGCTGAGTGGATTGTGGTAATTACGATATYCTAAGAATCTTTGGTACCTTGTCAATAGATCGATACTTTCCTCAAAAATTTAATTATCGAATAGTAAGAAAAGGCAGGCGGGATAGCACAAAGGAAATCAATGTCCCTGGCACGCGTTCGCGCAAAAACCGCTCGCTCTCAGAGAAGGGAACCCAAATTGAGCTTACACATGCTGAAAAGGACAAGTTATAGGCAAACATTTGAAGGGTCTTTATCGCATTTATGTAGCATATCTCTCTCTCTTATCCTCACCTATTGATTTCCCAACATGGATGATGAAGTCTAATTGCTACAAAAAAGCAACAAGTATTTCTATTTCCGATCGAAAAGTCAACAATAACTCATCAACAGTGAAAGCTTAATAGTACTTTGCCTACAATTAAAGCCAAGTAAGCCAAAATATACTTCAGCGTATAGAGACACTAACAAATACCGGTTTAATGACTAAAATGCGCTTTGTGCGGATTTCCAAAGGGGATCATAGCGCGCCTTCGTGAGCCATGCATAACGCCCGTGGATARGAMTATACTTTTCATAACTTATTTATATCCTAACGGAGTGAGAAAAATATACGCCCTCAAACAATTTAAGACCAATTTGAGCGTAAATAATTGTTAGGGAAAATATTATGTGGCTTTGAATGCAATTAACCATGCCTGAGAAATGAAATTTAAAGGAATGATATGCACTTTGCTTTGAGTGCAGATTTTGAATTGAAAATATAAAGTTGCTTTATTAGTGAAATGTCGAATTGAAAGTGCAAACTGAAAAGGAGGATTTTGATTTTTGATGGCTAACAATACTAAGTAATTTTCCAGCCCAATTTGAGCGCACTTTTACAATGTACTCGTATAATTAAATGATTTTTGAACACCTTAAGTTTTGTTTTACACGATATTTTTCRCCCATTCGTAATTCCATCATTGATTTAGTTCATCGTTAGTCTGTCGTACTTGCAAAACAGCTCATTCAAAATGGTTTTTGATTCATTTCAGAATACAATAGAACGTTTATGCTGTAAAGTTTATACTTTGGAACGTTTGATCAATAAAATTCGAGAACAAACGATCGCCACTGTTTCTATTGAAAAAGTGAAGTAAGCTGATCATCAACCGCACTTTCACGACATAAAATCATTTTCCTTCGTTTTAACAAAGACAAAACCGCAAATAGATCAAGARCAAGTTAATTTTGGGTCTAGATCGTATGTTTTCATTTTTATTATGATACGAAATGCATCCCAATAAAARATTTAAAGCCTTTCAAAAAGGAACAGAAGCAGAAACCCGACGCTCGATCGCTCGCCCAGATTTTCTMTAAGAATCACAATCAAATTGAAACCCGACTTTCCTTTCTCTTTTAGCTGACATTCGAAGAGACTTCTGTTTTTAATTGAATGCGATGTTGAGTGACATGTTCATAGTGGCAAGCGCCCTAAGTTACGAAGCATTTTACTTCACTGTTCTCGAAATCCTAAAGTTTATTTACTATTTTACGGACAATTCCATCTTACAAGTAAATTAAGCGTTTATGAGTGGCTTGAATTGATCGCGAATCTGAACAGCTAACTTCGGACAATTATCGCTCCACGTCGGATCTGTCCCTTTTTTGTCTATTGGACAGTGAGTTTTCAGTGGTAATTAGCGCTAAAACGGCTGTATTATTGCAGTCGCTATTGAAATCGTTACTATGATGTTTGAAATCACTGATACAATTCACAGTGACTGTACAATCTGAGTAGCATGGTAAAACGTTTTCCAATGAAAGATCTCATACAGAGATTTGTAGACTTTGGCTCGTTCGAGATCTCAAGGTGTTGATTACACGGGGTTTAAACGCAAATTATTGGTCTGATATGTACATTACGTCGTGATAGGGCCCAAGTAATTAGCACTCTTTATTTACCAAGCCTTAATAAAAAGTCCTGACTTTTTCAAAGCCATAAACTTTGATTTTTTGAGTTCAATAAATTGGCTATCTTCACTTGTTATACAATCAGAGCAAAAGCGTTGATTTTATAAATGCAATCATTACATATACATCATATCATGCAGTAAACGATCGTTTAAAGAATCGGGCGTTCAAAAATGTTCAATAATTGATTATCAAAAACTTGGTATGTTCAATAAGCACAGATTTGTGATTTTGCGATTGTGTAATTCAGATGAAGACGAAATCTGAACTATAGATTTCGGTTACATTAGAAAGATACCGTCGATTTGTAAAAAAAAAGAAGAATTATGCATTGTTTTCGCTTGCTATTGTCAAAGGAAACTGTACAATGAAGCCATGCATGTTAGTTTTTTTCAATTAATCTTTAAAGACAATATAGTTTTTGATATCACAGTGCTTATTATTCGACTARAACTGCACGAGGAATTCATAGTCGCTTTTGCTATGAGTCGACTTAGCACCTGCAACGAACTTTATGCCAAGGCATAACAACCGTAGCAGGATATCATAGCTATAACAATAGGATGTAGTTTTATTAGTATTTACGGCGCTGTGAATTGTTAATACTAGGTAAACCCTAACACTACATAGCTCAAGTTTTACGAAATGTAAATTCGAATACTTAAGTTTTTGCGCCTTTTCTTAATTTGATTCATCTTTCTTCGACAAATATTAATCTTACTAAATTTTTACCCACTTAACTATTTGATTTTGAACTTTTTGCATTGTAAAATTTGCGTTGATTTATTGAAACTCGTTTTAAACAGAATATGCTGAAAAAAGCGCGCGGTACTAATATATGTGAATGTATATAATATATATTATATATTGTATAAAATTTCTTGTTTCCTGTTTAAAATAAATTGTTTAGTTGCTAGGATTGTCAAATATAAACCTAAAAATGATTTTATAAYATTTAAGTAATTTAAGCTTTTCACAAAGCAAGGTCGCTAAATCTGACTTTTCCTACCCCTACCTATGTTGCAAACGTTTTATATTATTTTCAATTCTTACTTGAATTGTATTAAACTATGATTGCGTGTTATAAAGCTATTGATATCTGACTTCGAAGTTTGCAAGTGAAGCTAGTTTACTAAGTGACAACTCAAGTTAAACGCAAAAATTTCATAGTGACATTTCTGRGTATTTATTTTAAATTAAGTTGGAGGATTTCCAGTGGAATTCTCCGTTTAACGAAATAAGAGTTCTTTGGCTGTTGTTAGTTGCAGTCGAAGAAAATGCCATTTGATATCAATACTCTTCCAAAATCTATTTATTGTGTTATGGTTTTTGTATAGATATTGAAAAAGAAATACCAAAAGCAGAGCTTTACATTTCCAAATTAATTGACAATTGTTTGCTTCTACGACTTGATACATTTAAAAGCACCATTAATTTTAAACTCTTTTTCAAAACCTATCATTCAGCAGTAGTAGGGCTGATAAAGACATGATTTAGCTCATAAACTGAGTCGTACTAGGCCAGAGTAACAGATTAGTTTTTAACAAAGTATTTTTTGCAGTCCTTTTCATTCATTCTAACTTCAATTTTTTTATTCAGTATACCATGTCCACTCGAAGATACATTATCGACGACTGTTTCTTTAAAACGCGCGACGTAGACATTTTCCGCTGTATTTTCAGGCTGTTTTGAAAGAAGCTTTAAAACAYAAGAATATTTACAGAGACCTTATTGCATGAGCTCTCAAATACATAGCGCTCGTTAGGAATCGTTTTACGTGATCTTGGCCTATGGTAGTGACCGGTAGCTGGCAACGTCGGAGACACCTTTATAGCTTGTAATAATTTTGAAATAATATTTCAACGTGATTTTTGATAAATGTCATTTCTTTTATTCCGCAAGGAAAGTCGGAAGGGTAACCTGTCAAATTAAATACATACGTAATGATAACATACTCAATTTGACGTTTTAAATCTAAAAAGAGATTTTTGAAAGAAACAAAGAAAAACGTTAATTAAAATGTCTGAACTTTTGTGCAATTGTCTTTTCTTTGGCATTTTGCTTAGAGATATTGTAATAAAGCTTCTTATTCGAGTCTTTATTASCAATAAATATCTAAATAATGTTTTACCAATCATGTCTATAGTTTAAAACACTGATTTAATAAAATGTTTAACCCGACATTGTTCCTGCTCAGCAAGTAAGTTTATGCCTTTTGTTTTGTGATAGTGATATTTTTGGGACTCGGTATAATGTATCTAACCTTTAAAGCAGAAGTTTGTATTTTTTTAATCAAGGGGAAATACATRCCTTATGCATATTATCAATTTTCGACGCTATAAAATATAATACAATTTGTATGCTAGAAGTCTGTTATATTTCCAGTTCCTAGTTGTAATTTATTTAGGATTTCTTCAATAAGACAAACAAAAGCTTAGTGAATCTTTATTACCGTTTTATTGCAGTTCAAAGATAATAAAATAGCGTGAATGCTTTCTGTACACGTTTTAAGCCATCTACAGTGTCTAAACGCCCAATATTTCGACAGACTGTCCGGTCGTTGCATTTCAAAGGTTTCGGATCCGCGGTGTGGTTTAAGCTATT